GGGAGGATTCCATGGAATGGCTGATGGATTCCATACTTCCCCCAGATGGATTCCNATACTTTTCCACATGGATTCCATACTTTTTTCAGATGGAATCCATACTCTATTCTATATGTTCTACACCATTTTAAGGGTGGAATCCATATGGACTCCATATAGACTCCACATGGAATCCACATGGAATGACTTTATGAAATAATTCTAAGTCCATATCATGTAATCATGGTTTCTATATTCATGAGTCATGGCTGAGCAGGAATAATTGAAATGTATTAAATAGACTACACAATTTATTTTACTATTCTCAATATTTAAGGGAGGGGGGAAGACAGGGGGAAGTGATGGAGGGGGGAGGATGTAGTAGAGAGTGAGGGGGGAGGGAGGGGGAAGGAGTGATGGAGGAGAGAGGGAGTGGTGAAGGGAGGGGTGGGAATGGATGGGGGGGGGAGCAATGGGAGGGGGAGCAATGAAGGGAGGGGGAGAAATGGGAGGGGGAGCAACAGAGAGAGGGGGAACAATTGAGGGAGGGAGGGGGAGCAATAAAGGGAGGGGGAATGATGGAGGGGTGGTGGTGAGGAATGTTGGAGGGAGGGGGAGCTTACCTGGGCTCATTGTTGCCCATTTCCGTTCACGCGAGCAGAATCCTTCGTGCGTGGGCGCTCTGGGTCCTCGTTTGTGGGTGGTGGGCTCGTTTTTGCGTCCGTGGATCTGGGTTGCCGTTGCGTTTGTCTTCGTTTCGTGGGCGGTCGTGTCGTAGGTGGTCGCGTCGGCTTTGTGGGCAGTCGCGTCGTCTTCGTCGGTGGTCGTTGACGTCCGTGGGCGGTCGTTGACGTTGGTGGGCACTGGTCTTCATCAGTGGGTGGTCTGGGCGGTCGTCTTGTGGGTGTTCGTCTTCGTCTCATGGGTGGTCGTCTGGGCGTGTTGTGCGTTCACGGGCGGCGTATCGTCATTTGCGGGTGGTGGGGCTCGTTCGTGGGCGGAGCACGCTGTGGGTGGGTGGTGGGGAGGTCTTATCAGTGCCCCCCCTATTCCTGCAGGAATCCGGTCATTCCGGTGGAATGGAATTTAGCAGAAGGC